ATGGTGACCATAAAAACTATGACGACAATGATGACTATGATGACAATAATGACTAGGATGACTATGGTGACAATGATGACAATGATGCCTATGGTAACAATGATGACTATGATGACAATGATGGCTATGAGGACTATGATGGCAATGATGACAATGATAACTTTAATGACAATGATGACAATGATGACTATGATGACAATGATGACTTTAATGATTTCAATGATAATGATGACAATGATGGCTATGATGACTACGATGGCAATGATGACAATGATGACAATGGTGACTATGTTGACAGTGATGACCATGATGACTAGGATGACAATGATTACTAGGATGACTATGGTGACAATGATGACAAGGATGACTAAGATGGCAATGATTATGAGGATGACATAGGATGACTATGGTGACAATGATGACAATGATGACTATTATGGCAAGGATGACAATGATGACAATGATTAGTTTTGATGACTATGATGACTATGGTGACAATTATGACAATGATGACTATGATGGCAATGATGACTATGATGACTTTGATGACTATGATGAATATGATAACAATTATGACTAGGATGACAATGATGACTTTGATGACCAACAATGACTAACTACGATGAAGATGATGACTTCTTATGGTTATGATTATGAGGATGATGACGATGACGATGACGATGCGATTCCGATGAGGCTAAACTGAGTCTGAAGGTGATGGTGATGATGGTGAAGACGACAAGTATGCAGGTAAATTAATGACAATGATGCCGATGATGAGGATGATGGTGATGATGACGATGATGACGATGCTGACGATGCTGATGATAATGAGAATGATGACGATGATGAACATGGCGACGATGATAAAGATGCTGACCATGCTGACGATGCTGATGATAATGAGAATGATGACGATGATCAAAATGATGACGATGATAAAGATGCTGACGATGGTGACGACAATGATGATGAATGTGATCATGACCATGAAAATTAACATGAAGAATTTCTGGCCATCTGCCACACACTGGCATAGAGTGAGATATAGTGAGATGCACAGGAAAATGTCAACGATCTTGAAAGTGGGCCCCATCTATGTGGGCAGCACTTATGCAGGGAATCAAGTAAACACAATCAAAGATAAAGTAGCTGAAGACTCCATAGACCTTGTATCATTTGGGTTTTGTCACCACTTAGTGCCACTGATGTGGGGTTTGTCTAGAAATAGGATGGTTTAATTATCATGTGTCATCATATGTCCTATTGACAATCTTAAAATGGCAATTCGGAAGTACGTATACCCCATTTTTAGACACCCATATTGTAGTCCAAGGCTCCTTCTTTTCAGTGACTTCCTCCGCAGCTGGAGTGCTGCCCAACACTGGTAAGCTGCGGGAGCGCCGTAAACTTTCAACGGCCGGGGGCTCAATGGCGTCGATGAAGGTCAGGCGGTAGGTCAATTGGAAAGCCATGACCTCGTTGCATTTGCAATTGGCTCAAAACTGAGCTCGGACCAACATCATGAAAAAAAACATAGAGGACTTGGATGTTTATCGTAGTGCATCTCATGTCTTTCTTAGCGGGTTGCGGGCATTATTTGTTATAGAACCGTTTGGTATGCCCTCTAAGTCACGGCGGCACTGATTTGATGGCAATTTGTGCTACACCTATGCAGGACCATAAGGGGTCCCAGTTCTCCACACATTGGTGGACATTTTCGGATAATCAAAACCAACGTGGATTCAAAACAGGATTCAAAAAAAGGATTCAACCGGGAGAGACAGATTCACGGGGACGTGTGAATAGAAACACCACACAAATACTAAGTACGAATTTTGACTCAAATTTTCTTTTTAGATTTTTCAGTACTTCTCTTGGGGTGTCTTCAGCTTTATTGCACAGGAAATAATGAAACACCAAACCATAGTGTAGCTGTTTCGACGGGGGCCTCTTACTTTGTAGGGGCGTGATGGGGGAACAGCAAAAATATAAATGCTCGCAAATATATTAAATATATCCTGCGCAGTCTGGAGCTAGACCTTTAGAGGTATGTGAAGCAAGAAAATAAGAACAGCAACCCATTTTGTAGGGTTTCGAATGGTTTCGAAGGGGACCTGTCATTTTGTAGGGGCATGACATGGAAGAGAATAGTTTCACTATAAATTGTTGCGATCTTAAATTTTTGAACTATATTTACTAGACCGTTGAATGCATGTAATTAAAGAAGTTTAAGAAAAACACCCATCCATATTATATATAGGCATTGCATGCTGGCAAAAGAATGGTTAATGTAGCTACTGTAGGTCACAACACTACCCATTTTCGAGATTACCATGGATTACCTGAGTTGGATTAAATCCACGACAGTCACTACATGTAATGTAGGGCTGCCTTTTCTCCCCACGTGGCACTCTGGGCACGGCATCCAAGTAGCTGTTTCTGGGGACGACAATCCAGCTGCGGCCCCTTGTGGCACTGCAGCTAAGGCCAAAATGTCTGCGGATGGAGCAATCACCTGGGTTTAATGTGTCATCCCTGAATTAATAACCCCCTAGGCTGTTGAAGCTAGGGGGGTACCAACAGAAAGTACCCTCCCATCATTTTCATAAACCATGGTTGACATTACCCATTTCGAAACCATAAGTGTGGATATTCCACATCTAACTGGGGAAGATCCAAGCTCCGAAGCTGAGCTTCACACGTTGCTCGGATCATCATCCACAAAAATGCCGCGCGAAGCGGGGAGACCTTGGGACCCGTGGCAACTAAAGCTACCACTCGCGCACACGCACACCTACTGTCCCGTCACCTGCGCACATATTCTTTGCCCTCTCCCCAACAAAGCAATGATCAGCAATGTCAGCATGCAAAGTCATTATTTAAATCTTGCCACCCTCTGAGCTAAAAAACATCAAAAACCAATGATCTGCATGCTAAATCATTATTTGAATCTTCCCCCCTCTGGCCTACAAAGCAATGGGCTACATGCTAAATCACTATTTAAATCTTCCCCCTCTGCCCGACAAAGCAATGATCAGCATGCTAAATCATTATTTGAATTTTCACCCCTCTGGCCTACAAAGCCATGGGCTACATGCTAAATCATTATTTAAATCTCTCCCCTTCTGCCCGACAAAGCAATGATCAGCATGCTAAATCATTATTTGTTTTTTTTTCCCCTCTGGCCTACAAAGCAATGGGCTACATGCTAAATCACTATTTAAATCTTTTCCCCTCTGCCCGACAAAGCAATGATCAGCATGCTAAATCATTATTTGAATTTTCCCCCCTCTGGCCTACAAAGCCATGGGCTACATGCTAAATCATTATTTAAATCTCTCCCCTTCTGCCCGGCAAAGCAATGATCAGCATGCTAAATCATTATTTGAATTTTTCCCCCTCTGGCCTACAAAGCAATGTGCTACATGCTAAATCACTATTTAAATCTTTCCCCCTCTGCCCGACAAAGCAATGATCAGCATGCCAAATCATTATTTGAATTTCCCCCCCTCTGGCCTACAAAGCCATGGGCTACATGCGAATGATCAGCATGCTAAATCATTATTTAAATCTTCCCCCCTCTGGCCTACAAAGCAATGGGTTACATGCTAAATCACTATTTAAATCTTTCCCCCTCTGCCCGACAAAGCATGGATCAGCATTCTAAATCATTTTTTAAATCTTCCCCCCCTATGCCCTACAAAGCAATGGGTTACATGCTAAATCATTATTTAAATCTTCCCCCCTCTGGCCTACAAAGCAATGGGCTACATGCCAAGTCATTGTTCAAATCTTCACCCCCTCTGGCCTACAAAGCAACGGGCTGCATGCTAAGTCATTATTTAAATCTTCCCCCCCTCTGCCCTAAAAAGCAATCGGTTACATGCTAAGTCATTACTTAAATTTTCTCCCCTCTGCCCTACAAAGCAATGGGCTGCATGCCAGGTCATTATTTAAATCTTCCCCCCTTCTGCCCTACAAAGCCATGATCGGAATGTTAAATCGCTATTTGCAATAAATAAATCTTCCCCCTTCTGCCCTACAAAGCAATGGGCTACATGCCAAGTCATTATTTAAATCTCCCCCCTCGTGCCCTACAAAGCAATGATCAGCATGCTAGATCTTTATTTAAAGCTTCCTCACCTCTGCCCTACAGAGCAATGGGCTACATGATGCTACATGCTAAGTCATTATTAAAATCTTACCCCCTCTGCCCTGCAAAGCGTTGGGCTGCATGCTTAGTCATTATTTAAATCTTTCGCCCCTCTGCCCTACAAAGCAATGGGCTACATGCAAAATCATTATTTACATCTTCCCCCCTGTGCCCTACAAAGCAATGTTCAGCATGCTAAATCATTTTTGTTAATCTCCCCCGCGGTGACTGGGATGTACTGGGATGTACCTCAGTTAAGAAACATCTAAGCACTTGATGGGGCAAATGGTCTACTCCTGACTCCTGACCGGTGGAAGTTCAGAAGTCCAAGCCGCAGTCAGTGATTAGACATGTGAGAAAGCGCTTGCAGAAAGCCGTCATGCTACGGTGTTAGATCTTCACGTGCATGTGCAAACACGCTTGATGCTACTCTGTAAGGTCTTCTCTTCAACCACGCTCAAAGAGGTTCATGAGTCATGAGTGGAAGTTCAAAAGTCCGAGCAGCAGCCAATGCTTAGACATGTTGGATTGCAATTGCAGAAGCAACGAGATTTCATCATACGTTGAAGATATTTTAAAATCATAATCATCTAAGATCGTTCACCATGAAACCAGCCTTGCTGAGCCTTCCTTTCAATCACTGATACTATCCAAAACCATGGGCAGCAGCTGGCACAGCAACATTTCGCCACGAGCACGTTCTGTGGACAACTATACACATCACAAGGAGATTACCTCTCCAATTACGAATTTTCGACTCCCACAACGAAATCAACGGATATAATAAGCCAAAACATAGGCTTAAGCCAGGTACTGACCCTTTGCACACCACCACACATGTATTTCAGCCCTTGTATCCTTTGTCGAATCTTTGGGATGCAATTGGAGCACATCTAGGCTTGCCACTCAAGGCTGGCAGGATGTGCTTTAGAATCACGGAGCTTTTCGGAATTTCATCACCTTGGAACTTGGAACTGCACGAGTTTTCGAGGAATTCCAGGCGCCATGGCATCGGCCATCTGCGATCCCAGCCAAAGTCCTCGAAGCCAAAGATCAAGGAAGCCGCGAAGAACCTCCAACGGTGGCTCCCATGAGTGGTTCAAGCATCTCTTGTGGCAATCAAGCATGGCCATGGCGCATTTCGCCAGTTGCATCATGACATGACATGAATCTCGAAAACTCTAGGCTCACGGAAAGGACATCCACAAATTTGGGAAGGCCCCATCGCTTACCACGCGTTTGCACAAAAAAGCAAAACTTGGGGGGCATCGCTGGCAAGAAATTTTAATGATCTACTTGACTCCAGAGTGGAGGCTGTGCTTCCTTTTTGATCAGGCATCTTCGCTGCAGGACTCTGAGCTATCTAAAGAGGTGCTACTGGAAGAGGTGCTTTGCAAATCTCTTTTTCCCCACCTGCCAAATAAGGGTACTCTCCCTCTCCCGGTAACAAACGTAGACCCTAATTACTTGATACCTACGTTTAAACGTAGACCCCGGTGAGCAAATTTGCTGATCCAGGGTCTATCTTTTCTTGTAAAAACATGTAAAAAAAACCTGCAAGTCAAAAAGTGTGGATAACATAGACCCTGGGGATACCATGAACAACAATGGAAAACTAGCATAACATAGACCCCACATGTTGCATGCAATTTTAACCTTGTTTTACTCACTAACATGGACCTTAACAACAACTTATAATACCTGTGCAGTAGCATTGCAAGTAGGGATAACACAGACCCTGGACTGGTATCAGGGTCTATGGTTTCTTGTAATAAAGATTTGGGTGCCTGCAAAACTCAACAATGGGGATAACATAGACCCTGGGGATACAATGGACAACAATGGCCAACTGGCATAATAACATAGACCCCACAAATTGTGTTTTTGTTTTACTTTCCGCCGACCCCACTAACATGTTTTTTTCTCAATTCCTGCAGTAGCATTGCAAGTAGGGCTAACATATACCCTGACATGGTATAAGGATCTATTTGAGTTTCTAGTCCAAGAAATGATCCATCTTGCCAAAACAGCATGTCGGAGTCTATATTCTTTTTGTTGGGATATATCTGTCAGAATGGCTTCCTGAAAGTCCAACTATGGGAAACACATAGACCCCCGGGATACAACGGACAAAACGAGAAACGAGCAAAACATAGTCCTAACCATGGTCTAGGTGAACCATGGGAGGCCTTCTTGTTGTTTGTGCATTAGTTTCTGTTTTTTTTTGGATAAGGAACACAAGACCTGTGTTTTGAGGGTTTGAGGGTCCATGTTAGGGGCCGTTAACATCTTTAAAGTCCTGCAAGAATATTGGACCTGGGGAAAACCTTGGAAAGGACACAAAAATGAAATCATTCTGGGATACCGCCTTTGTCGGCCCAAAAAAATGACTCAGAAGAGCCTTTTTGAATAGAGACTTGTGAAAAGAAAAAAATACATGTTGGTTTGAAATCTGCAAGGGGGACTTGGATGGTTCCATCCTTTGTTGTGGTTGAAGATAGACCATGCATCTAGCACCCGGGTCTAGGTAAACCATAAAACCACAGGGAACCACTCTAATCAAACATTGGTATGATCTGCTTTGGGGACTTGTGTAGAATGTTTGGAAACTGCTTCCATAACTGGGCCAAAGCATGCCAAAGCTACACCACCCCTACCCTCAGGGTCTAGGTGAGCCTTCTTGTTGTTTGTGCATCGTTAGGTTCTACTTTTTTTGGTTAAGGAACACAAGACCTGTGTTTTGAGTGTTGGAGGCTAGAGGGTCCATGTCAGGGGCCGTTAACATCTTTAAAGTCCTGCAAGAATATTGGACCTGGGGAAAACCTTGGAAAGGGGCACAAAAATGAAATCATTCTGGGGTACCCCCTTTGTTGGCCCAAAAAATGACTCAGAAGAGCCTTTTTGAATAGAGACGTGTGACAAGAAAAAAATATATTTAGGTTAGGTTTGAAATCTGCAAGGGGGACTTGGATGGTACCATCCTTTGTTGTGGTTGAAGATAGACCATGCATCTAGCACCCGGGTCTAGGTAAACCATAAAACCACAGGGAACCACTCTAATCAAACATGGGTATGATCTGCTTTGGGGACTTGTGTAGAATGTTTGGAAACTGCTTCCATAATTGGGCCAAAGATACACCACCCCCTAACCATCAGGGTCCAGGTGAACCATGGGAGGCCTTCTTGTTGTTTGTGCATCGTTAGTTTCTACTTTTTTTGGTTAAGGAACACAAGACCTGTGTTTTGAGTGTTGGAGGCTAGAGGGTCCATGTTAGGGGCCGTTTAACATCTTTAAAGTCTTGCAAGAATATTGGACCTGGGGAAAACCTTGGAAGGGGCACAAAAATGAAATCATTCTGGGGTACCCCCTTTGTCGGCCCAAAAAATGACTGAGAAGAGCCTTTTTGAATAGAGACTTGTGAAAAGAAAAATGACATTTTGGTTTGAAATCTGCAAGGGGGACTTGGATGGTACCATTCTTTGTTGTGGTTGAAGATAGACCATGCATCTAGCACCCGGGTCTAGGTAAACCATAAACAAACATGGGTATGATCTGCTTTGGGGACTTGTGTAGAATGTTTGGAAACTGCTTCCATAATTGGGCCAAAGATACACCACCCCCTAACCATCAGGGTCCAGGTGAACCATGGGAGGCCTTCTTGTTGTTTGTGCATCAGTGTTTTGAGGGTTTGAGGGTCCATGTTACGGGCCGTTAACATCTTTAAAGTCTTGCAAGAATATTGGGCCTGGGGAAACCTTGGAAAGGACACAAAAATTAAAACATTCTGGGGTACCCCCTTTGTTGGCCCAAAAAATGACTCAGAAGAGCCTTTTTGAATAGAGACTTGTAAAAAGAAAAAATGACATTTTGGTTTGAAATCTGTCAGGGGGACTTGGATGGTACCATCCTTTGTTGTGGTTGAAGATAGACCAAGCATCTAGCACCCGGGTCTAGATAAACCATAAAACCATAGGGAACCACTCTAACCAAACATGGGTATGATCTGCTTTGGGGACTTGTGTAGAATGTTTGGAAACTGCTTCCATAATTGGGCCAACGATACACCACCCCCTAACCATCAGGGTCCAGGTGAACCATGGGAGGCCTTCTTGTTGTTTGTGCATCAGTGTTTTGAGGGTTTGAGGGTCCATGTTACGGGCCGTTAACATCTTTAAAGTCTTGCAAGAATATTGGACCTGGGGAAAACCTTGGAAGGGGCACAAAAATGAAATCATTCTGGGGTACCCCCTTTGTCGGCCCAAAAAATGACTGAGAAGAGCCTTTTTTAATAGAGACTTGTGAAAAGAAAAAATGACATTTTGGTTTGAAATCTGCAAGGGGGACTTGGATGGTACCATCCTTTGTTGTGGTTGAAGATAGACCATGCATCTAGCACCCGGGTCTAGGTAAACCATAGAACCATAGGGAACCACTCTAACCAAACATGGGTATGATCTGCTTTGGGGACTTGTGTAGAATGTTTGGAATCTGCTTCCATAACTGGGCCAAAGCATGCCAAAGCTACACCACTCCTACCCTCAGGGTCTAGGTGAGCCTTCTTGTTGTTTGTGCATCGTTAGGTTCAATTTTTTTTGGTTAAGGAACACAAGACCTGTGTTTTGAGTGTTGGAGGCTAGAGGGTCCATGTCAGGGGCCGTTAACATCTTTAAAGTCCTGCAAGAATATTGGACCTGGGGAAAACCTTGGAAAGGGGCACAAAAATGAAATCATTCTGGGGTACCCCCTTTGTTGGCCCAAAAAATGACTCAGAAGAGCCTTTTTGAATAGAGACGTGTGTCAAGAAAAAAATACATTTAGGTTAGGTTTGAAATCTGCAAGGTGGACTTGGATGGTACCATCCTTTGTTGTGGTTGAAGATAGACCATGCATCTAGCACCCGGGTCTAGGTAAACCATAAAACCACAGGGAACCACTCTAATCAAACATGGATATGATCTGCTTTGGGGACTTGTGTAGAATGTTTGGAAACTGCTTCCATAATTGGGCCAAAGATACACCACCCCCTAACCATCAGGGTCCAGGTGAACCATGGGAGGCCTTCTTGTTGTTTGTGCATCGTTAGTTTCTACTTTTTTTGGTTAAGGAACACAAGACCTGTGTTTTGAGTGTTGGAGGCTAGAGGGTCCATGTTAGGGGCCGTTAACATCTTTAAAGTCTTGCAAGAATATTGGGCCTGGGGAAAACCTTGGAAGGGGCACAAAAATGAAATCATTCTGGGGTACCCCCTTTGTCGGCCCAAAAAATGACTCAGAAGAGCCTTTTTGAATAGAGACTTGTGAAAAGAAAAATGACATTTTGGATTGAAATCTGCAAAGGGGACTTGGATGGTACCATCCTTTGTTGGGGTTGAAGATAGACCATGCATCTAGCACCCGGGTCTAGGTAAACCATAAAACCATAGGGAACCACTCTAACCAAACATGGGTATGATCTGCTTTGGGGACTTGTGTAGAATGTTTGGAAACTGCTTCCATAATTGGGCCAAAGATACACCACCCCCTAACCATCAGGGTCCAGGTGAACCATGGGAGGCCTTCTTGTTGTTTGTGCATCAGTGTTTTGAGGGTTTGAGGGTCCATGTTACGGGCCGTTAACATCTTTAAAGTCTTGCAAGAATATTGGACCTGGGGAAAACCTTGGAAGGGGGCACAAAAATGAAATCATTCTGGGGTACCCCCTTTGTCGGCCCAAAAAATGACTCAGAAGAGCCTTTTTTAATAGAGACTTGTGAAAAGAAAAAATGACATTTTGGTTTGAAATCTGCAAGGGGGACTTGGATGGTACCATCCTTTGTTGTGGTTGAAGATAGACCATGCATCTAGCACCCGGGTCTAGGTAAACCATAAAACCATAGGGAACCACTCTAACCAAACATGGGTATGATCTGCTTTGGGGACTTGTGTAGAATGTTTGGAAACTGCTTCCATAATTGGGCCAAAGATACACCACCCCCTAACCATCAGGGTCCAGGTGAACCATGGGAGGCCTTCTTGTTGTTTGTGCATCAGTGTTTTGAGGGTTTGAGGGTCCATGTTACGGGCCGTTAACATCTTTAAAGTCTTGCAAGAATATTGGACCTGGGGAAAACCTTGGAAGGGGGCACAAAAATGAAATCATTCTGGGGTACCCCCTTTGTCGGCCCAAAAAATGACTCAGAAGAGCCTTTTTTAATAGAGACTTGTGAAAAGAAAAAATGACATTTTGGTTTGAAATCTGCAAGGGGGACTTGGATGGTACCATCCTTTGTTGTGGTTGAAGATAGACCATGCATCTAGCACCTGGGTCTAGGTAAACCATAGAACCATAGGGAACCACTCTAACCAAACATGGGTATGATGCTTTGGGGACTTGTGTAGAATGTTTGGAAACTCTGCTTCCAAGGTCTATGTTAGGGCAAATTCACCCTGCCTTTTAGCTCTATGTCCCAAGGTCTATCTTAGTGAGCGGAAGTGGTTTGTTTTTTGCTCTTGCAAAAATCGTTTTTTACAAATAAACGTAGACCCCGGTTTCTCGTTTCTCAGTTTCGGGGTCTACGTTTGTTTCCAAGAGAGTATCTGGAATTGAACCCTGCACCACGCCACGCCACACTGAGATCACTGAGTTGCCATCTTCCTCGGCATGGACAGCCAGCTTGTTGGCCAGCCACCTCCGCACAGCCACTCTATAACGAGCTCTCCAGCTCTCCGGGCCTACAAACCCGAATGCTATGGCGCTTGCCAGCTTTCTGGGCCCCCACGGGAAAACTATGGCGAGCTTGCCAGCTCTCTGGCCCCCACAGGCCCGAACCTTTGCCAGAAAGAATGCCAGATAGAATGCCAGCCGATCGATCGATCGACCTATCTATCTTACCATCTTACTATCTATATAGCCATCCACTAGCTAGTAGCTAACTTTCTCTATCTAGCTTGCCGCCAGAAAACATGAATGCGTCACAGGCTGATGTGCACCTGGGTGCCTGGGACAGAAAAGGGGTATCGCGTGGATATCGCTTCGGCATCGCTAGGATTCGCTAGGGCATCGCTAAAACTCACCTCATAATTTTCCAAATTTGGTCTGTTGATACTGTAGTACTTTGTCAGGAAGCAGCGTCATGAAACAACAGCAGTGCGAAGCTAGAGTCAGCAGAGAAGCAAGCGAAACAGTGCAAGTTCACATTGGCGTCAATGGAAAATGGAAACGCTCTTCTTCAGCAACGACAATAATTTGTCACAAGGAAGCTTCGCTAAACAACAGCAGTGGGGAGATAATTCAGCGGAGAGGCAATCGAAATGGCGAAAGTTCAAGTGGAGAGTCAATGAAAACATGCAAGGCAAGGATGTGAAGGCAGCTAGTGAAACAAACATGTTTACAGGGACTTGCCTTCCGCTTCTGCGAATTCCCTGACCACTCCACGGATATCAAGAAGAACACTTTCTGAGGAGCACGTGCCCTTGTGAGCCCAAACCTATACAATTCACAGAAATCAACGTCCAAAATGATATAACCTTGAAAGATATTGAAAGGGGGGCATCGCTTATTTGGGAAGGTCCCATCACTTACCTCGTGTTTTTAACACTTTCCATAAATTTCCACAAACCAATGTCCGTCCCTTACATGTTTAGTATTGCCGGGGTTTTTGCGGTGGCTCCTGTATCTACAGATATCACTATCGATCATTTTCCATGATATTACATGGAATATACAGGGTTTTAACATGTTTAAGCTTTGAACATGTTTTAAGTTCCCGGGTTGAAGACAAAAAAAAATCCATCAACCACATCACCGTCCCCACATGTCCCCACAGCCTGCTGAGCTCCAAGTTCTGCAAAACCTGAACAGCGATCTGCGGCTCCATTCCTTTAAGGCCGTTAAGGGGTTCGAGGTTCATGGTTATTTTTCTTCAGGGAAGAGGTGCCTTGTTGATGACGTATCTGGAGTTGCGCCTGGGCAGAACCCAGTGGCCCAGTGGTCTCATGTGGTCTCATGTGGTCTCAACAAGCTGACTGTGTTTTCGCGTACCGGGGTACCCGACTAGACTCGACATGACTCAACCAGAGTCGCAAACAATGCTGGCTTCCAAGTGGTGGGCCCGTGAATAAAATGCAGAATGGTCGTCCCGGATTTTACGCCAATCCGGTAGCCGCTCTAGTCTGGACCAAAGTTAGATCCGACGCCTGTTGATGTGAAATCCCTTGAGGACCAAGGCGCGCACAGGCAACGAAACCGGAGTCTCTCTACAAATGCTCCACACATCACCACTTGATGTGCTGCACTTGGAGCATGTTGGAGCACTTATGGCAGAAAAATATAGAAAAATCATGTATATTTCTAAGTTCCAACTAATCGAAAATCCACAAACGCACTTAGATTTACAAAGTGATCCGACTCTTCCAAAGTGTTCTTGGGCGTTTCTTTGGCCCAGTACTACAGCACCAAGCCTGGAACCTTCATTGGTTTCCATCCAGGGGGTGGATTGATGGAAAAAAGGCCTCACGTTGCAATGACGATCGTCATCGTCATCGTCATCATCACCACCACCATATCATCAGAATACCTATAATATAATCAATAGGCATGGCCATAACAAAACGTAACGAAAAAACCTAAATAATAGTGAGTACATGTTGACCACTCAAAGTATAATTGGGAAGTGACTCGAAAATGAAAGGGCTGCCTCACCATGACTGCTATCATTCCCAGGGGCGATGGGTTCCACCATGTTCCACCAGGGTGCAGCAACAACAGAGTCGTCCAAGACCTAAACAGCATGCACTGGACGATTGCTGGTTGATGAACCCTTGGCCACACTGAAACACCTTGGCCACTTGGGGATCATCATCCTAAGCAGGCATAATCATGTAAGACGGATCGTGGTCAGTGAATATCAGTTCATCTAAATATAAATATAAATAAATGAATAAATAAATAAATATATATATATATATATAATAATAATTATTATTATTATTATTACTATATTCATCTCACTAAATTGGTACCCAGGATCCCGGCCTGACGATTTGAGCTCCAGCCATAGAGCAGCGTGGCATTGCCGTTGCTGGCATCGCTCTGCAGCACTGCCAGGAAGCGCGGCGATGGCCGGCATCCAGGATGCCTGGGACAGTTCATCCCACTTTCGACAACAGATTTCAAACCACTAATCAGTTTGACGTGTGCACTTATATAACTATATATTTATGTATAAATATCATTTGGGTGGAGTATTTATGGCTATAACATGCTATAATCATGGTCATAACTCTTTACTTGCAACCCATAAGTTGGGATATAAGCCCCATATATGTAGATATATCTATATCTATATATATATTGTTTTTAAATAATAATATAATATATACAGTATATATATATACCCCTGCGTACACCTAGTAATAAACTATCCCTAATAAATTATATAACAGAAATTGGTGGCCCGAACCATCATCAATTGCATGCTTGTTATGCCCACATTCCCAATGGATTGCAATCATCCTTCCCAAAAAAGACCAAGTTTGTGCAATTATACCTCATTTTCAGACTCATCCATTTCGAGCTACAATCAGTTGAAGAGGTGGGCGGATGAGGACAGGATGAGATACATTTTCTCTTAAAACAAACTTCAAAAATCACTGAAGTAACCTAAGGGATGATAGGTAGCATCAATCAATATCATCGTCTCACTTGGTACCTAAACATACCTAAACGCTGTAGGCCGCAGGTGCCCAGGTCTGTCAAGTGACGCCAACACCACCGTGGCGTCAGCTGAGCATCGTGGCGCAAAGTCCAAGTCCAAGCGCACTTGGCCCACAAAGGCCTGTTAATTTGATGACTGTCGAATCAGTCTGAAACTAGTGGATTAGTATCGACTACTAGATCATAATGACACATAATGAAATATAGTCACAGAACTTATCATAGAACTACTCCGGGTTCTAACTTGTGATTTTGAGTTGCCAAAATGTGATCGTCGAATCTTGATGAAACCAGCAAGAAAAGCATGGACATTGGTATCGCATCCTTGATGGCTACACAACTGCCTCTTGAGACAAGACCAAGCAAAGCGATACAACGAGCATCTAGCAACCGATTCCATTATTCCATTGCAATGGTTGCTGGTTGGTCAATAGATTTAAGAGTATGATAATCCAACTATATCTTTATATGCAAATGCATATGCATATATATGCATGTATAGTTACATACCAGTAGTACCGCACAAGGCGGTGGCGGAAGTTTCAAAAATAGGAAACCTATAGGAGAGTTGGTTGTTGTGAATCAAGGATGACAGAGCGAAGCCACTGATGGATTGAAAGGTGCTTGATCTCTCTCACTCTTTCTCTCTCTTTCTCTGCCTATCTACCTACCTACCTATCTATTTTCTATGTATCTATCCAGCTATCGATCTATCTATCTATCTCTCTCTCTCTCTTTCATCTGCTTATCTGTCTAGCTGTCTATCTGTGTTGCAGTGTCATTCAGTGTAATGTAGTGTGGTGTAATGTAATTTAGTGTAGTGGAGTGTACTGGAGTGTAATGTAGTGTAATGTAGTGTACTGGGGTGTTGTGTAGTGTAATGTCCTGTAGTGTAGTGTCTTGAAGCGAAGCGACATCTGAACCTCCAAAAGTGGTCCGAACCCCTAGTGTTTTGTACATTTTGACGCCACAACGGCGTGCACTTTTGCGACATCCGAACCTCCAAAAGTGGTCCGAACCCCTGGTGTTTTTAACCTTTTGACTTGGAAATGTGCTTCGCGCCACAACGGCGTGCACTTTTTCAACATCCGAACCTCCAAAAGTGGCGCGAACATGTGGTGTTTTGTACATTTTGACTTAGAAATGTGCTTCGCGCCACAACGGCGTGCACTTTTTCGACATCTCAACTTCCAAAAGTGGTCCGAACCTGGTGTGTTTTGTACATTTTGACTTCAAAATGTGCTTCGCGCCACAACGGCGTGCACTTTTTCGACATCTCAACTCCAAAAGTGGTCCGACAATAGTGTGTTTTGTACATTTTGACTTCGAAATGTGCTTCGCGCCACAACGGCGTGCACTTTTTCGACATCTCAACTTCCAAAAGTGGTCCGACAATGGTGTGTTTTGTACATTTTGACTTCGAAATGTGCTTCGCGCCACAACGGCGTGCAATTTTTCATCTCTCATCTGGCCAGCTGGCTCCGCACCCGCCGCTTTAGCGAGCCTACTTTTCGACCCTCCGGAGCCACAAATCATTGGAAAAACACAGTGTTTCGCGACTTTCCTACCTTTTCGCGCATCTGCATCTTCTTTCTTCTGACTCTTTCTCTTCTACTCTTCTCTCTTCTGATCTTTCTTCTCTCTGCCTCTGCCCTGCTCTGCTTTTCATCTGTCCATATTGTCGGAAGTTTGACTTCTAAACTTCCTTCGATAATAATGTATATGTATATATATATATATCAATGTATTGGGTAGCGTAGCCCCCTTTTATATCCTTTTATCAATTGACCCGTCCACCGCCAACTCCTATGATCCCCAGAGTCAAATCTCGACTGCCTCAGCAACCGAAAGGAGCCAGCAAAGGAAACACCACCATTTGCCAATGTCGTGCCTGTGGACGGACCAATGGCATTTCCAAACCTCCTGCCATGTGCAAACTCAGCAACCTCACATCCCAGGATTTTACCCCGGCAGACCGCTGCAGGCCTCACTGGAAGGCAGCACAGTCATCACAGCATCTTGTAGCCCAGGCGTGGGCAAAATGCTCGGCATCATTGCTGGATGGTCCCAGTTTGATAACTGATCGTCAATGATATGCCAATGATTGACGCACCGATGAAGCTCCATGATGAAAGCGTGTGGGCAATGTCATCTTGCCTTTGCCTCCTATATGAAACTTGAACCAAAGTTTCACGATGTCTTGACTTCAGCTTCCTTGCTCAGCTAACATCCTCTGGGCTTCGTTATTGACCCACCGATGCGAAACGGCAGCATGAAAGGCTTGCGTTCATCCTATGCAGATTGCACATCTCATCAATCTCACTAATTACTGGGCAATCCATCCAAAACATTGAGACACAGGAGAAGGAAAACAAAAATGCTGGACATGGCAGATGTATTTAAATGCGCATTTGAATGTGTATTTCATCTTTTATGCCATATCAATCCCTTCCTCCTATTGTCACCTCTGTCCTGTGTTGAGTTGTGGACGACACCACGGCGATAGTGGCACTCTCAGACAGCTCGGACAGGAGATCGCGAAGCATCTGCACCTCAGTCGTTTGAACGACTTTTTTGGGTGCGAAAACTACCATTACTGCATTTGGTTAGTAACTCAGTTAGTAAAACAATGTAAAAACCAGAGGTTTGATCATGTTTGTTGATTCTAAATTCCCATGTTTGGTTGGAAGAATGAACCTGGGGCGGCAGTGGTCTGCCGAAATACATGGCGATGTTTTCAAACAAGCAAGGATCGAACAAAAAAAACATGATGTGAAGTTAGAACTAAATGGTGTGTTTTATGCCATCGTCCAAACCCATATATAATATGCAAAAACGGAATGTTATAGAACAGAAACTGTGGAGAAAATCATGAATTTGATATTCATTATCTATCATCCAATGGTGTTCAATGATAAAATAATTTGCGTACATGCCTACATGCAATGAAACATCTTATGCAAGTATGCATATATGGAGAGATTGAAACATGTACTGTATGCATTACATATATATATATCAATATTATAATTATATATATATATATTGTACAGTCATGATCAGTTATGTATATAATTGTATATATGTATGTATGGGTACATATATTGTATGTATGTGTATGTATATTACACACAAATGTAGCCAACACTGCGACTATCATTCCACATCATTTCATCCCTGCGGAATCTCTAAGACATTGACTCGCTCAGGGCCTCCAAAGGCACGCTCTCCAATCCTGGCCATGTCCTGCAGGGCTGTGAGGTGAAGCCAATAGCTGGTACCCTCCAATCAAACATCGCAATGGGAATGCCCCTACAAATGCATGCTTTAATGGGAAAATCGGAAATCATTTGAACATATCTAAAAATGGTGGATTTTCCATTGCCATGTTTGATTGTCGGAGGATAATTAGATGGACCTTCATCCCCCAAAATAGATCAAAATAGATCACAGCTGCTGAAGCACAGGTTCAAGGACCATAACCCTCCATCCGAAGATGCCAAAAACCTGACCAGATCTTGGCGAAAGTCGGAGTTGAGGCGCAGCCAGCATGACATTCCGCGAGCCCATCGAGCCCGTCCCAAGCTCTTTTGCCGAAGGTTTTGAAATCGATCTTGAGGGATCGGTGATGATCGGTGTGAGACACGGGCTAGGTGCCCAATGGCAGTGACTGTGTTGGCATCATGTCGTAGCGGGGCGATATTGGTTCCTAAATTGGGAGTACACGACCCTCTTCTTTGGTGAGATGCGAGTCAGGGCTAAGGAATGCTATTGCAACAATTGCCGTCGGTAAGTCTGATCATCCATCATCATCCCACAGGAATCCATTCCATTCCATTGCCTGCAGCACCTGGCACCTGGCACATGGTCTGCCTACACAGCACTACGAAATTCTACGGGGTACAGCGATGCCCTTGAGATCACCAAGGGCTTGGGACATGGCAGAGCTTGGGTAGCAAACAAATCTGCTTCAAACACTAAAACTCTGAGCCTGAGCCACACCATGGTCAGAAAATGCATGAAAATGCCTTGGGCATTTCCAAGTCTCAAAGAAGACATTTTTGCGAAATATCACGAAATCGAATCTATGCACATTCCCCAGGGCTTCACTCAGTATCCTGCATGGCCATCATAGTCACGAATTTTGCTGAGCTGGCACGGGACGCCTCCATGAAGAACCTCAACGGGTTTTTCTTTTCTTAACCTCTGGCAAACACAGCCATATTGGCCATGGCAGATCCATGGGGATCCTATGGAAGTTTGGCGTAGTTTGGGTGAGGACAAAATCTGAAATAACTATACCAAACTGATATACGTAAGTGATAGCTAGTAAGTGTATGTCTCTACCGCATCACATGAAGCTTTTCCACCAACAGGAGAGATATCCCGGAATTGAATGGAATTGCCTGCATCCCGGCAGTTTGCCAGCCTTTCCCACAGATCCACATCCAACCCTGGTTGCGTCGAGGGGCTCTGCGCGAGCCTTCAAGTCGTCAATGACTTCCAGATCTACTCCCAGATCACTCCTACTGACCATCGACTGGGGTATGAAACTTCAGTACCCCCAAAAAACGGGGTTTGTTACGACATAACTCGTTAAGACTAAAACTTCCACAGTCTGCCATCCCTGGAGCCAGTCAATTTGACTCAGATATACCACATTTTACATGCAAGAATTGGTTTGACCCACCAATTCATTTCTTGCAGCTACAGAACAACTGACATCTCACACATCTGCCAAGGTTCAATTGTCCCCTGTCGATCAAATCTTCAACATGTGAAACATACCTTGGACAGCCCAGGCGCCCAGGTTTTTGGGGTGCTGGTGACCACATCATGCTGGGATGATGAAAATGGGCTCCTCCCAGGATTGCCTTGCTGTCAGCTAACATAGCTGTGGAAAATCACCTTTTTTTCGTGGGTACTGTAAATCATCCACACAATCTAGAAATGGTGGATTTTCCATAGCCATAAGTAAATAAATAAATAAATACATATATATATATGGTATAGATATATAAATACAATATATGTATGTAATATATATATATATATGTGTACTAGCAATCTAAAATCACCAAAGGGTAAAGTCAAAAGTGGAAAGTGAGAGCGATGCATGAACCAGCTTGTAATATGTTATATATAATCGGATCCATTACAGTATCCCATAAGAAGTAGGTTTGAAAATGGACCAAATAGAAACATCCTTGCAATCACTAACCAGAAGAATCTCACCCAACAGTGGAGCCAGTGCATCCCAACTGCAATAGACCAAAGACTTGCAAGTACCGGAAAGTGGAACCTCACATCAGGGAAAAATGAAGGGTCGGCTGCGTCAAACCAACTCATTGAAGTATTGGTCATTTTGCTCCAAAGAGGACGATGTGGTCCGCGCCTCCAAAATTGATTGCAACCTCTGAAAATTCCTCTGCACTGATGAAAAGATATGGACCTCGGTGTGGCACATTCCTGTGATTCAGAGCGTCCTGGGGCTGCAAAGACCCAAAGTGCCCAAAGTGCCCTTCTCTCAGATATTTTTGGAAAAAAATGTGCGGTCCCCACCAGATTCATTGAAATATTATAGATTTACAGGGTATCATGCCAGTTGGTCCACCAGTCCTTGTCCCTGGTTTAGCAGCCGAAGATTCTTCCGAGCGGCAGGTGGCCTCCGCAGATAAGTGGCCTCGGTACTTCCACACGGCCCAGAGACCTTAGAACGAGCAAGAACCAAAAACCGACTGGGATGATTTGTTGGTTTCATGATATTCATGTGTGATTTCTTGGCCTTACCTGGGCGCGGTGACTTCTCATCATAAGGAGTCGTGCTAGCTGAGCTGATGTTTATAATGCCATTTCATAATCTTATAGATATTATACATATATATTTATATATTATTTTTATAGAGTATATATATATATGTATATGTATGTATAAATAAATATATATATATATACTCTATAAATGCCATACCATGATATTGTGGATGATGGGCGTTGTGTTCCTTCGGATTCCCCGATAAGTCCCGCGACAGCATGCAACAACCAAACAGACTTGGTGCTGTCAGGAGGCCTACGTCAGCCAGTGGCTGGTATGGACGCAGGGACACCTCGGCTGGTCAATCTGCTACAACACTCTACAACTGTCTGCTTGTCATTGGTCTTTGACCCCCTGCATTCATGGATGCACCAAAACAAAGATACCCACTTTGACCATAGTAGGCCATGTAAACGATCAATGGGTTGCGACCAAACCCACCGCCGGACCCAGAGACATTTCCCTGCTGTCTTGCTATTGGGTTCTAAGCATCTCTCTCCGCATTCCGATCTAGCACCGTTCTCGTCCATTATCACCATCAGACATTGGCTGTATCACCATCAACATCACCATCACCGCCACCATCATCATCATCATCATCGTCATCATCATCAGCATCATCATCGTCATCGTCATCATCATCAGCATCAGCATCATCATCATCATCATCATCGTCATCATCATCAGCATCAGCATCAGCATCAGCAGCATCAGCATCAGCATCATCATCATCATCAGCAGCATCATCATCATCATCAGCAGCAGCAGCATCAGCATCAGCAGCATCAGCAGCATCAGCAGCATGAGCATCATCAGCAGCAGCACCAGCATCGTCATCATCATCGTCATCATCAACATCATGGTCATCATCATGATCAGCATCATCATCATCATCAGCATCATCATGGTCATCATCATCATGGTCATCATCATCATGGTCATCATCATCATGGTCATCATCATCAGCAGCAGCAGCATCAGCATCATCAGCATCAGCAGCATCAGCATCATCAGCATCATCAGCATCAGCATCATCAGCATCAGCATCAGCATCATCATCATCATCATCATCAGCAGCAGCAGCAGCATCAGCATCAGCATCAGCAGCATCAGCAGCATGAGCATCATCAGCAGCAGCATCAGCATCAGCAGCATCAGCAGCAGCACCAGCATCGGCATCAGCATCGTCATCATCATCATCATCAACATCATGGTCATCATCATGATCAGCATCATCATCATCATCATCAGCATCATCATCATCATCATCATGGTCATCATCATCATGGTCATCATCATCATCATCAGCAGCAGCAGCATCAGCATCATCAGCATCAGCAGCATCAGCATCAGCATCATCAGCATCATCATCATCATCAGCAGCAGCAGCAGCATCAGCATCAGCATCAGCAGCATCAGCAGCATGAGCATCATCAGCAGCAGCATCAGCATCATCAGCAGCATCAGCTCGCTGGCCAGAAGCCAAGGCGCCACACCTGCATCGCCTTCAAAAAACCGGTGGCTGTGTTTGTTGAAGACCTCCCGGTGAGTGTACACCAGCCCTCGGCATGCAAAGTGGATATGGGCTATGCCCACGAACGGTCCTAGAACCCAAACGTCAGCAGCCTGTGGAGGATGGATTCAATGACCAACTGCCTCCTTCCCTGCTGCAATTTCAAACGAGTGGCCATGGTCCACCGGCACAATGGCACCCTCACCTCAACTGTATTGGAGCTTGGATCACATCAAATGGTCGCTGAACTGATGGGATCGGTAGCAACGCGCCCACGAGAGGCTAGTCGTTTTTAGGATCGAAAAAACTATCAATGCTGGGGGGCTGATGCGGTCATTTTGACCCAAACGCACTTTCACCTGCATGGCGGCCAACGTGCTGCACGGCCCCAAGTGCTTTAGAAACATTCGTCCGTGCTTTTTTTTCTTCTAGCATATTCTATAGTCCTTGATGAGTTTTCTCTCGATTCCAAGAAGGCCCCTGCTACCAAAGCCTCACAACATTCAGCAAATCAAATCTGAGCTGATACCCGATCCATAGGCAGCATTAGCCAGCTGCCACCCCTGCAACAACCGAGATGCACTTGCCATCTGGCACCTCAAATGTCCAGCAACCAAACACGAACTTCAACAACAAACATACCTGCGCATACACATACATCTGATGAATGCCAAACAATCATGATGAATCGTGCATATGCCATTAGTATAGATCTATAAAATCAAAAATATACCATATCATATGTATACATCAAATATATATATATTATTATTATTACTATGATTATGATGATGATTATTATTATATAATGATATACAACGTTGCCGGTTGCCGATCCGAAGCCATCTCAGCTCGCCACGAAGATGTCACCGCCGGGGGATCCCAACATCTCAGTGGTGGCTCGATGGCAGACCTTTTCCACAAAATCCTTGGTGCTTTGCTTCCAATGGAAAAAAAATGGAAAACATTGGAAAAGGTCCGTGAAAATTGCCATCCATAAATATCCATTAAATATCATTAAATATCCATAAATTACCAAAACGCTGGTTTCAGAAAGTGGCTTAAGTAATTATGTTATGTCAAAAAGGGCTACCATAGGGGGTTCGAACTATACTACCTGGTTGATTGTGGCTCAAAGGGTCCAAAAATGATCCAAAACCATACGATCTCATACGATTTCGCACTGAAATCACGGCGGGCCAAGATGAAAAAACTACAGCAAAAGAAAAAACATCCTGCAGTCGCTTTCCCAGACAAGTTGCCGAACGACTCGAAATGAAAGCCTAGGCAAAGTTGCCAGGCGTAAAGGGCTAGAGGAAGACCAAATAAATCAGAATAACTTAGGGTACCAACAGCTGAATCCGTTTGAAAAAAGACTGCGACTACTACGACAGAATCAAATATGAGTCAAGAATTGATGCTCTACGCCCCAAATTCATATATATATATAGTTTGATACTTGCGTGTATGTGTGTGTGTGCGGGTGTGTGTATGTATGTAATGTAATGTAATGTAACGTAATGTAATGCAATGTAATGATATGTAATATTATGATATATTATGTAATGATATGTAATGATATGTAATGATATGTAACGTAATGTCATGTCATGTCATGTAATGTATGTATGTTTGTTTGTTTGTTTGTGTATGTATGTATGTATGTTTGTTTGTTTGTTTGTTTATGTATGTATGTATGTATGTATGTATGTGTGTCTGTATGTATGTGTGTGTGTATATGTATGTATGTATGTCTGTCTGTCTGTCTGTCCGTCTGTATGTATGTATGTATGTATGTATGTGTGTGTGTATGTGTGTGTGTATGTATGTATGTATGTATGTATGTATGTATGTATGTATGTATGTATGTATGTATGTATGTATGTATGTATGTATGTATATATGTGTGTAATGTATGTACAATTTGTGTTTGTGATTTTTATGTTTTTAAGTGTTTTGTGTTTGTAATTTATAATGTTTCTTTTTTACTTACTTTCATTTATTTCTGTCTGTTTCTGTCTTTGTTTGTGGTCTGTATGTCTTTAAATTTATTTATGTTTATGTTATTCCCTTTATGTTTTTTGTCTTTTTTGTTTTTCTCTTTCTTTCTTTCGTTTTTGTTTTATTCTTTCTGTCTTTCTATATATGAGTGTGTGTGTATGTGTGTGTATGTATGTATGTCTGTATGTATGTGTGTGTGTGTATGTGTGTGTATGTATGTATGTATGTATGTATGTATTTATGTATGTATGTGTGTGTGTGAGTGTATGTGTGTGAGTGTATGTGTGTGTGTATGTATGTATGTATGTATGTAGGTATGTATGTGTGTGTGTATGTGTGTGTATGTATGTATGTATGTATGTATGTATGTATGTATGTATGTATGTGTGTGTGTGTATGTGTGTGTGTATGTATGTATGTATGTATGTATGTATGTATGTATGTATGTATGTATGTATGTATGTATGTATGTATGTATGTATGTATTTCCTGTTCTATCTGTTTTTTGTATTGTTTTGTATTGTGATGTATGTCTGTATGTAATAATGGTGTGTGTGGTATGTGTGGTGTATTTATGTATTATTATGTATGTACATTTATGTAATGTATTGTGTGTGGGGGTGTGAGTGTATTTGGTGTGAGTGTAGTTGTGTGTATGTATGTATGTAATGTATGTAGGTATTTATGTTTTTTTTGTATTTTGTTTGTGTATGTATGTATGTTGTAATGTATTGATGTAATTAAATGTCATGTATGTGTGTGTGTGGTATGTTTGTTGTGGATGTACATGTCATTTATGTACATGTCTGTCTTTCCTGTTTTGTCTTTCGTGTTCTGTATGTCTTGGTATGGAATATGTTATGGTTAATGTGAATGTATGTATGTATGTATGTATATACACCTACTACTGTATATAGCTTGAACTATTACTAGATCGCGTGGCCACGGCTAGTGGTTCCTTGGACCAGTGGTTTTCCCAGCCCAGTTTTCCGTCAAGCTGCAGGCCACCAGGGGAGTTCCATGACGTGCACCAGGTACATCTCTGTATGTAGCCTGTTGCAAATCTGATCCCAATCTGATAAGATCTGGTAAGATCTGATAAAAACCTGATAAGATCTGATAAGACCAAATCACCCAAATCAGCCACAAGCTGAAACTAATGAACCAAGTCAACCCATGTCAGCTCTAATACTTGAGTTTATTCCCTCAGCATCCTCAGCATTTTTGAAATGACCTGCGCATCCTTGCTCCGCTTGTTCTATCAAGCCTTCTCTTGTAAATACTCCATGAGATATCAATGTTGGAGGGATTGAAATCAAATTGAGAAAGTTTCCGAGGAATTTTAGGAAACTTCTCAGGAAAGTTTGCACTGACTCTGCCTGCATTAAAGCATATTAAAGCTATCAATTTGTTGCCCTCTCGGAATCCCACGGCCTTCGTTTCAATGCTTCTGGCAGCTCCAGCAAAAGCTTCACATCCTTCTCCCGCATGCGTGAGATGGCCGCCACCCGCACACGCATGAAGGCCTGTCCGGAAATCACACATTGCTCAGAAATCCCCGAACTTTTTTTAAATGGAGGTTTCCAATGGGAAGATATTGGAAAAATCATCGAACTCAATGGAGAAATTTCCAGCAAGCCATGTTTGATTAGCGTTCGGAATCAAACTTCTTTGTCTTAAAGTGTCTGTTGTGATTGCCCTTCGTCTTGCCTTCACTTGTGCGAGAAGTGCGGCTGGCAAGTTGCGCTCATGGAAGAACTGCCTGATTTGCGCCTTCATGCAGGTCCGCATTTGGGTGCTTAATGGGGATATAATGGTGATAAACCAACCAACAATATCCAACAATAGGGATTAACATGTATATATATATATATACATACAGACTTATATGTACTGTATACAACTAGTGGGGTAATAATGGACAGAACATATACATACATAGAATGTTAAATATTGATTAAATTTGATTTATATTATATATAACCCACTCAGTCCTAACGCGACCGTTTGAGTAAAGGACCCAAATGACTAAAGGCCCCAGACCTCATGCCTTGAAAAGATGCAACATTTCCGCACCGTAAGACCAGCAGGAGTCACATACAGCGGGAGCACTCTCATGATAAATCGGAAACACATGTCATGATATGTCATGCTTTTTTTGTCCTTTTTGCACAGACCTGATTTTGGGGATTTTTCACAGCCTTTCACGTACAGGGCTCTCACTTGTTTTTCGTGGTTTTTTCACGTTTTTTTAACGGCATCAATATTTTCGCAAATCTCAAAGGTGCGTCCTCGATTTTTCAAGCATGTGCAGCATGATGTATTTTTTGGGGTGGGACTTTGCTCGGCTAAGTCTCACAAAAATACGTCAATAATAATGTTAATAATCACATAGAGAACGCCATCGAAAACCTCAGTCCTAAAGGAGTTAGCCAGGACCGACAGGGCCCCGGGGGATCCCTCCATATCCCTCCTCCTGCGAGGCCGAGCTCAGGCGCACGGAGCGCAAGGCGTTCACCGCATTGGTGATGGAGCTCAAAAAGCTGGAGAACAACGCCAGGGCCACCAGGACCACCGCAATGGCGAACCTGATGTCGATATCTGGGAGGTAGATAATTCAATCCTCCAATCACCTTAAATAGACATTGAAAACATTTGAAAACTATAGGTGGTCCCCAAAAAAAAACAAATAAATTACTGGCAGGATTTCTAGGATAGGGTGGCGTTCACTACTACGGGGAACGGGTTACCAATTTTCGAACTGAGTCCTGGGGAAAAAAGAGAAAGCAAATCCCAGGACTAAATCTGTCGTTTCATGACTTTTCAGTGGGCCATACATGTGGGCGAACTGATTTCCAGTAAATGTGTGGAACCATAATAATATTGGGATCCTGATTATATGGCAAATATGAATATATATATATATTATATATATATATATATACAACATAATAATATATAGTATTCTATACTAGTAATCAGAATAAGAATAAGAATAAGAATAATAGTAATAATTAATAATTATTATTGTACATATCAATGTTAGGCTGATGTTGGACCGGTCAAATCATCAAAAATTATGGGGCCAATCATTTAAAGCTCTTCAAGCCATGGGCGCTGTGTGACTAAGTGACAATCTCTCAGGCACGCTAATAGGTCCCACGTTGTTGGTCGAAGGGGTAAACTGCGTCAAACTCCAGTGGAGGGAAATCGCCTCGCTGCCAGCTGCGCTTGTGTGCGAAATTTCTCTTGTCAATTCCATGTTGCGTCATTTGGATTCATTTGGCGCTTTGAATCCAAGTTGCGTAGGTGTCCCAAAACCCATAGTCCTCACAGCGCAAGCGGCGATTTCTTTCATGGCTCCAATAATCGTGACCGATCGTGATCCATAAAACTGCGGCTTCGTGGCATCCCAGCGTCCTCGTCAGTGTAGGTATCCAGCCAGTTTGGCCCTCCATTCTTCACACCCCGAGAGCCAATGGCCATGAAGAAAATGGCCAGGTAGTGGTTGACCTTGGCAGCTCATCACATCTGATCACCTTGCCATGCTCCGGCTCAACGTCCTCACCCTGCGTCCAAGGCACCACCAGGATAAATACAAGGCCGGAAGCTATCTTGACCTTGGCTTCGTGTTCCCTCCCCAGCCCTGCTGGCTACAATGGCTGCAATTTTTGCAGTTCTCAGTCGGTCTACAATTGTTGATTCCAAAGTCTCTATGGGAAAATCTTGCTCGCACATCCCATCACAGCCATCAACGCCAAGCAGCGGTGAGCCAAAAAGTCAGCGAGGTAAAATGCTTCGCAATCACTTCCTCAGAGAGCTGCTGCTGGTCTTCTCACCCATCAAATGATGCGGCTGATATGATGTGCCACAGTCTTCCCCTGCCAGCCCTCCGGTTCAAGGATGAACGGTGCATATGGATGGCCATATATATATATATATATCCATATATCATATGTATTCATGTATCAAAATAAACATGAACACAAAAAATTAGGCAAATCTACCAGAAAGCATCCCCTATGATCCACCAGATCCACCAAGTGCTTGCCAAAGGGGCAATGATCCGAGAAATCTTCTGCAGCCGCAGCAGGCGCAAGAATCGCAGGATGCGCACGGCTCGGAGAACCTTCACAGAGCTCAACTCCTGCACGTTGTCAGCGGGCCTAAGAGCCTTGGAACCTTCAAAACATAGGGCCCCATGACGCCCCCAAAAAGACCAGACATTACAACAGTAAATACGCCTCAAAATAGTAGGGTACTGTATGGTATGGTATGTCCCCCTTGCGGCTTCTGATCTTGTACAATGATGTGAAATTCGGAAAATGTGGCGAAATCATGGGAACATATGGGGGATACGTGTTTTGTATTGTTTTGTGGTTTTGGGAACCTCTACGATCCAGCGGATAGTGTTGATAATGATCTACTGTAGCCAACACGGTCTAAGCCGAAGCAACGATGAAGACTGCGGCTGGTAGAAGCTGACTACGGAAACGCTGCATTGCTGCATGCAAAATGTCGAGAAACATCATGTCCAAATCAGAAAACATCATTTCTTAGCAGAAGAATCGAGAAAACTCCTGACAAGTCCATAGATACCAGATGATACCAGCAATATCCAGCAACTGTCCACAATGTCTAGTGACACCTTGCCCTGGTGGCATCCTCAGAGTCTGTGGCTGCGATGATCTCCAAGAGCTTAATGACCACCTCAATGAGAACCTCGGATCAAAACAGTGGGATCGATTGGAGACCAGTATATAATAGATTCTAATAGTATATAATAGTCCAATAACCATCAATAAAAAAAAATAGGGCTTTCCTAAAATAGGGGTACCCCCAGATTTATGGTGAAACCTGAGGCATGATGAAAACCATGCAATCCTACAAGCATCACTCAGGCTGATATCACTCATCTCCAATGCTGTCTTGCATTTTTTTCAGACCCAAATACTGCCCCCGATATGATCAGCCTTGAACAATCACACATGAACATGTTCACTCGTGAGTCATATTCACGCAAACTTCGGATGCGTCACATTGGCCTGGTGAATTCCCTGCAGCCATGTCACTAAAGCTGTGTCAGGCAACAACCATGTTCTGATATAGTGGCGGGCAATTTTCGCAGGACGCCTCACTTTTCATGGATTGGGTTGCTATCTTCGCCGCGGAATCTGAACTTTGCCCATGCCTTGTGGTCCATCCATAACCAACCAAAATCTAATTTGCAAACTGCATCCCAAAGGGATTCCCCTTGCAATCCTTGTAGCATCTGGCAAGGGCATACGGATTTAGTAGAATGAATACCTCACCGACTCGTGACTCATGTCAAGGGGGTGCCAAACATCTCTCCCAATCCTGCGTTCTGCTCTCTGCCGTGGCGTCCGAGAATCATCTCAATCCCAGCACCTGTGTCATAGCCAGTGAAGAAATTGTAGAAGAGGTCCACAATCCAATACCACACGGTGCAATGACTGACCAGCACCAAGAAGTTCTGGGTGTCTTCAGTGGCATCTGCCAAGACCAAAGGGATAGTGATCAAATCCCAAAAAATCAGCAGCATACCTTGGCTCCGCAAGTAATTTCGTCGGGCCCTTAATGGCCCTTCATGGACGAAAAACCTTGAAACAAGGACGGCACACATCAGGGAATACTGAACATTGGAATATGTCAATGTACCTGTAGGGACAATCAGCGGTTGCCAACAAAGAATGTGTAGACAGACTGTCCATGGGCGCACTCACTCACGCGCACACGTATATCTGCATATATATACACACACACACGTGATGTATACATATATTATGAGACAATGATATGATAATAATAACAATAATATACATACGTAATATGTATCCATTCTTACACTACTAGTTTTATGTTCATACATGTTCCTATGCTGTTCGACATCTATATTGTGGTCACATATGCATTGGATCGTCTCCACCACGCCCTGCATCCGCCTGTCGTGCCATGGTACCTGTGCAAAGCCACATCATTCGCACCAAATGATCCGGATGAGACACGTACCTCGTCTGACACCCATCTGGGGCTTAACCATATGGGCCAACGGTAGCCATGGGCCATCATGGGCCCACACTAATAATCACTAATAGTAAGGCAAGACCCTGAGGTTTGCCCGGACTCGCAATGAGCGTCCGGGCAAGCCAAAATGACGATGATGACGATGATGACGGTGATGATGATGATGATGATGATGATGATGATGACGATGGTGATTTTGATATATTCTTGAGACCCTATAAGACGCCCAAGTGGCTGTATGGTTAATTGTTCCATGGGGGCGGGGGGGGTTGATATCTTCTTGAAACCCTATAAGATACCGTAATGACTGTATGGCTAATTCCATATGATATGTAGAAGCGACATGTTCTGGTTATATGATATGTATGTACAATTTACATGTTCTGGTTAACACCCTAGCAACATTAATTCGAACATAAAATCCTTCCCGCTGTTTGACGTCGCACAGAATTCCCTGGTATTTACGCTATTCTGGGTTTGGCAAAACCTCGGGGTCTATGTGTAAGATTAGCAATGTTTTGAGTCATCTGGCACAGCCACCGTCCATCACCATCCGCATCTATCACCCATCCTTCACCATGACGTGCACATCACTGCATGTGAATTGTGCATCCTCACCTGCCAAGAAAATCCAAGAAACTTCTGCAAACGGCTGCTTTCATCCAGCATCTGGCTCTTCACGCGCATCCCTTGATGCGTCGTCACCATCTTGGGGGCGACGACCCTGAGCGTTGGACGCTCAAATGCCCAGTGCGGCAGCTGGCCCAGGCTTTTGGACGCATAGATTAGCATTGGGACATATGGGGACTCATCAAACTTGGAGAAACATCTCTATACATCTCCGCAGAAAACGATGTGTAGGTGAATTCCGAACGAAAAGAGGCTTTTGGGATGTGTTGGGTCATCATGTCCACCCCCAAACCACACGTTGCTGCTCGGCAAAGTCTTGCCATTTATGGCATCATGGCCGAACAAAGTTGCCACTGAGACACGTTCTGCTACGAACGGTTTGTTCACCTCGGTGCGGAACTGGTCACTGGGGTGAACGATATGTGGTTGTGAAATGACACCAGCCCATTGGTGGAAGTGTTCCAAAATAGCATCCACGTATATCACGAGCACGCCTAACCCTTACATTACACCTGCTTCCTAACCTCTATGTCCGTCATGCATTATTCCTTACCAGTAGTATTGCACAAGGCGATGGCGGAAGTTGCACAAAAAGGAAACCTTCAGGAGAGGTTGGTTGTTGTGAATCACGGGTGGCAGAGCGAAGCCACTGATGGACCGACAGGTGGTTGAGGTCTCTTCTCTTTCTCTCTTTTTTTCTCTTTCTCTGACTATCTACCTACCTACCCACCTATCTATCATATATCTATGTTTCCATCTATCTATCTCTCTCTCTGTCTGATTATCTATCTCTCTATCTATCTATCTATCTGTCTGTCTGTCTATCTGTCTATCTGTCTATCTGTCTATCTGTCTATCTGTCTATATGTCTATCTGTCTTCTGTCTATCTGTCTATCTGTCTATCTGTCTATCTGTCTATCTGTCTATCTATCTACCTATCTATCTATCTATCTAACTATCTACCTATCTACCTATCTACCTATCTACCTATCTACCTATCTACCTATCTACCTATCTACCTATCTACCTCTCTACCTCTCTACCTATCTACCTATCTACCTATCTACCTATCTACCTATCTACCTATCTACCTATCTACCTATCTATCTATCTATCTATCTATCTGTCTGCTCAATCACCCCTGTAATGACCAATTGCTCAATCACCCCGTGCTTCCCAGAATTGAAAAATGATTCAAAAACGACGATCCTTTGCTCAATCCCCTGCTCTTATTGTAATAATCAGGATTTATTGGGTGCTGTTGCTGTTGGTAAAGAATCCGATGGTGGCACAGCAACAACCAAAATCACTCCAATGCAATTATCTGTTGAAACATGCATCACAACCGCAAACGGTGACCGTAAACAACCAACTGCGAACCAAATGATCCTCTGATTTTGTGACGCTAAGAAGCAAAGCCCAAGAGCTGCATCTGTTGCACACTGTTTCCTGCGGAAAATGAACCGGCCAGAAAAG